AGTAGCAGTAGTAGCAGTAGTAATAGCAGTGGTAGCCAAAAGCACTACAGGCAGATGAACAGTGTGATTTATAATTCTACAATAATCATAGACAAGTAGTAGCTTGCACATAGCGACCATTGCAACTACCCCTCTCTCACCTTGGGGTCGGTTGCAGCTGCCATGGTAGCTGCAGCCTCTGCCTGCGAACGACAGACGTGGACTCGGCCCAAGCAACTGCTAGAAATCAAGCAGGGCTGGCGCCTTGTCCTGTTCGGCATCCTAAACCACCCTGAACCCTCATGCCTAGTCTACACGAACAAATTCACATGCAGCACCGCGTGCAAGTAACGGCGCGTTTCGGAGCGGTGCAATCGATAAACATCTACAAGCAGAGGCACCCTTCGAGAGAGAGCGTTCGTCCCAGCGACGATTCCCATCCTGGAACCCTCAGCTTCTCTTCTCGCGTGCCTGTGCTTGGGTGTCCTCGGCTCTGTGGGCCTGAGCAGTGGAATGTGCCAGGCCAGGGGGCTTTGAAAGCGCACGGGCGAGGTCGCCGCGGCATCGATCACGGGCGTGAGTAGGTCTGCTTGCATGTCTGATTGCAGGTCGGATTGAGGGTCCTGCAGCTCTGGAGAGACATGGCCTAGCCACCCTAGCCCCTCTGCCGGGCCGTGGCCTTTTGTGAAACTGAAGGTGCAGGCAAGCTCACGGGGGCTGGCTGCTCCTTCCAGGTGCGATTGCCTTTGGCTTCGCATGTCGCACGCATGCAGGGGAAGCTGAGATAGAAGCAGTATCTCCCTCCAAGAGGAGCTTCTTAACACATTGGAACCTCAGCTGAGTAGACTCGACAGCTTTAGCTCCTGCGAAACAGGCATGTCCTCACCTCTGAGCTTGCCACAACGAGTTGAAGGCTAAGCTATCACCTCCAAGCCTTTGGAATACAAAGACAACCCGGTTCTCCGGGATCTGGTATGCCTCGCTTCAGAGTTCAGTCAGGGTTTCTGCCTCCATGGCACTGCAGAATGCAAGGGCGCCAACCCGAACTTTGATCTCGCACATGAGATCTTCCCAAATAACCTGTGCTTTCACCTGGCGCTTCCCCAATTGCGGGACTCAGCCAACAGCAGTAAATCCGAGGTGTAGATCGAATCTATTGTGTCACAACACATGAAGGCAAAGCTGTGAACTTCGTTCTGTTCACCTCAGCCACTGCACAGGGCACAGCACATTTGAGGAACAGACCAGCTGATCAGCTTCTGCGGCCGCACACCCCACAAGCAATGACTGACAGAACCCAATCCCGCCGCGCTCTACCTCCTCTTGGCCTCCATCTTCTGAACCCGTCTGCTGCTTCGCTAGCACCGCCCGCCGTCAGAATTGCGTCGCAGAGATTCGATGTCGATTCGCGCGTCTTCGGTGGGAAGGAGAGGCTTTCGAAGCTGCGGATTTTCTCGGACACCGATCTGGTCATGGACAAATGGGGCCCCGGCCTCGGCCTCATGCGGATGAGCTTGCACTAGTTCAATGCTGTCGAGATTCCTTCGCTTGTCAAGTTGAAAAAAGCGGCTGTCGTCGCGCTGGCTCGTTGCACCAGCCGTCCCATCCGTTCCCCTTCTTGGCCTACTCGTCTGCACCGCCGAAAAATGGCGCGGACCGTAGCAGCGAAGTCCTTTCCCAGTCTTCAACGATGTTCTCCGCTCAGCCCAGCGTGTCAAACGCACCAAGCTGAGCCGTGTCCGGTCGGAATCTTCGTCTCTTCACCAGAGCTCAGACCCAAAAGACTGTTCATCGTGGCAAGGATTCAACGCAGCCTGTCTGCACATCATTTTTTTAATCTGTCCTTCTGCTCCAGTCCGTCTCGGTAGCTTTTTGGGTCCCCGTTCAGTCTCAAGTTCGTCGATGCGTCACCAACTGGTGAAAGGCCCGATTCCAAACCTTTTTCACCATTCTGTGCTCTCGTATGCGAGACATCGTCCCTCGACCAGGGGCGGCGGCATCGGCTTTGGTCTGATTCACGTCGAACACTCCAACGATCTCTGATCTGACAGGGTTCGACACCTGGGGAACTCGTTTCGCTGAGACCCTCGCTTTCTTGATATAAGCAGTGATCGTGTCCATCAGGAATTTTAGCCTGTAGCACGAAAGCGAACAGGAAATGCCAGAAACGGAATGCCCAAGCTTCAGCGCAACAGCTCGACAATGCAGCACACCGAGAAGCTGCTGGTTTAGGGTTCATGGGCCCAGGGCCATCTCAGCATGTCCTACGCGATGAACAGACAATGCATCGCTTTTGCCTGTACCCATAGGCCCCATAGTTCTTTTTTGGGGTTACCTTATAGGATTCTATATATGAACCCAAAAAGGAACTACTTTAGGGCCTATGGGTAGAGGTAAAATGCCTCAGGCGCAGATCACAGGCCCCGACAATCGATTGCCGTATTCCCATGCCTGCGAAGAGTAGGATTGCGGGGACCATTGCTGCTAAAACTCAAGTGCTGCACGCACTGGCTTTCACAAATTGCATCAAGTTCCAGTGCAACAAGGCCAAAGCTACACAAAACTCAGCAGACTGCAGGCAGCATGTCGAGCTCTTTTCAAGCACCTGGGACTCTGGAAACTCCAGAACCTGCATCTGCAAAGCTACATAAGCTGCGGGCGGCAGGGAGGACATAAGCCGAACTTGAGAAGCTAGTCTGGGTGTCTTGGACGAGCTGACACATCTAACTAAGCCAAGGTGAGAAGTAGTCCCGGAGCAGGCTGTCGGCGGGCTGCTGGATCACTTGCATGACCTCTTTGTCTCGGTTCTCCGGCTGTCAAGAGCTGCCCGCGTCTTCTTTGCACCGGCCTCCAGCAGCAACTGCAG